TGCATCATACGTATCTACAACCGCAGTTCAAAATATATAAACTTCATATATTCATTGTATCCAAAAAGAGAACTGGCACTTGTCCTGAATTGCAAGTCAGTCCACTGTAGATCTACTCTGCCCTCCCCTGCAATTTTATCAGGTTTCTGGATAGTTGGCCAGTACTTATTCATACCCCATGAAGGAGTGGGGCATTGTGGATGAAAAGCTTCAGAAACATAAAAAAATTGACCCACTTAGGCACCAGTATGCACATCAATAGGGTAAAGGCTGATAGTTTCGAAAGAAACTGTTTGAGGCTGCATTGGTGGGAGTAACGAAATAATTTGGATATATCAACACAGTTGAAATGGTAAATTGGCCACCGTAACGATTACAAAAGCTGACGTTTCGAGCGTTAGCCCTTCGTTGGAGCGAATGGGGCATCAATAGGGTACTCTGCTTCCTCCTTGATGTCTATAACAATACATTTGACAAAAGATGGCTCAAGACCTGAAGCTAGTGAAAACGTTTTGAGGGCACAAGATTTGAAGGATTTATGAAATAAAATAAGAATGCAAGTTATAGCCACCAAAAACTAGTCCTCTGGGGGAGCAGAATAACTTAACTAGAATGTGAGGGGTTTGAATAGGCAAGGGCTCGCTGCAATCAAACATGACTCAGCATTCTATTTACTACTCTTTATTGCACACGTGAAGAAAAAGTCTGGAGTAAATTGAGGGAAGGACCAAAAACAACCTTTACAATTATAATTAACAATTATTCCACAAGCGCGCATTGGATATGAGATGATAGATAGCCAACGAGGCGCGTAGCGCCGAGTTGGCTATAATCATCTCATATCCAACAAGGGCGAGTGGAATAATTGTTTTATTAAAAAAGTTAAATTAAATTATCAAATTTTAATAAATTTTTAGCTCCCTTTCAATTTTAAGCTGACACGTACGCTTGCCATATTTGTAGATTATGGTATATTGGCTGATATACCATTATGGCTAAGCCAATAAAAAGTCTTGAATTGCATTATCCAATGATCTAGTTTTTAATAATATAAAATATAGGATGGAAAATAAATGTGAAGATACTATGAGACAAAAACTTACCAAGTCCTGAGGGAATATACATATACATGATGCAAAAAACAGGACACACTGCAAAAAGGGGCATGAAACATGATATATAAAGGGCCATGTAATTTGCATGAATTAGTGCAAAAATAATGGTACAGAAATGATACAAGTCATGTAAAAAGAGATAAGAATAAGCTTAAATTAATGCGTGCAGTATGGTATCCCTGTGTATTATGTGTACGTACGTCATGTGACTAGCACATGAGGAGAGATCCGCCATCTTGATTAAAAAAGACCTGTCGTTCTGTTGACATTTATATTTGTCTTATCCTGCTTCTTCCTATAATATTACAATGTGTGCATGCAAAAAATAAATAAATAAAACCTATATGCAAGATAAAACAAAAATCACACATTCACATTCACCACAGCAGGGCTTTAAACTAATTCTTATTAGATACTCTTAAAAGATACTCAACATATGACTTATGAAATTGTCATGATTGAAGGAATTCCACAGGCTTGATCACCTTTTCCATCTTTTAACCCATATCTCTGGTATACAACAATGCTTTAGGAAATTTGGGCCAAAAACTCTCTACAAAGTAAATGGTCTGCATCTGAATAACTTATCCATGTTTACAGTAGTTTAAAAACTACCGGTACTGTAAAAACTTGTGTATATACCATACTTAAAATTTCAAGTATGATTTTTGAGCCTTCTTTTCACCCTCTAACCCCCAGAAATGATTAACTTGTAACTTATCTCTTTCACATACAACTGGATGATATTATCATCCAGCAAACAGGAAAAGAGAAAACCAAAACCTTTCTGGCAGGTAGATGTTGCTACTTTGATCTACCACCAAACTCTAGCAAATAATTCACAAGGAAATGTGTGACAGCTATAGTGGGGAGGGTTAACAATCAAATCTTCAAGGTTAAAATGGCTGTCAAATTGACCTTTATCTTAGATTAATTCAAGAAACTGCTTTCCACACCTGCATTCAGTGAAATTAAAAATGGAACACATTTTTTGTTCGATCTTGAACAAATGAAACAATAACACAGGACTGGTGTAAAATTCTCTGAGGAAAAATGACCCAAATTGTAATAATATTCAGTATATTTATTATACTATAAACTCTTTTAATCTTTTGCAAATGCATTGACCCTGAGCTATCCTGATGACATTCTACTTAGGTATTTTAAAAAATGACTCTCAGACAGACATCAAAGCATATTTAATCAAAATAACTAATTATATACTACAAATGGCATGGTAGTAGCTTAATTGTTGTACTGAACTGGTGTTTTTGGGCAATGATAAGAATTAAACAGCTGCAAGCAGCCACAACCCCTCTTTGACTCTTCAACCTGGGTGTAGGGGACAAGTCTCTCCAAGGAGTACCACAAGACTAACTGACTCTGCCCATATTTCTCTAACCCTATAGAATGACTGTGCAAAATAAAACAGTCCATTTGACAGACCTGTCTAGATTTCCTTGCTCGCTTTTAAACCTAATTCCCAGAAGAGATTGACATGTAACTCCTCTGTATCATTTCCATACATTATCCAGCCAAGAGGTGATGAGAAGATTCAAAGTTACCAGGTGTATGTTGTTGTCTTCATCCAACACCAAATTCTTGTTATCTATTTACAAGGAAATGTGTGGCAGCTAGAGGGAAGGATTTAAGAGTCAGTTCTTGGGAGCTAAAGGGATTAGTTGGAGTGAGACCTTTTTTTGATAGAGGCGACACGTTTACAGCAAGACACTTGTCAGAAAGATCAAAGAGTTAATAAAATTGACAAAATAGCAAGGTTTTCATCATGATAAGGTCACTGTCAGCCTCACTTCAATTCAAAGGCATGGCAACAAAGCACTCAGCTGCTAACCCTTTGACTCCCATGAGTGACCAAGAGAGAATTTCTCCCGACAATATCAAGGGGACAAGTTATGAGAATAAAAGAAAGTCAGTTAGGGGATTATTAGCTGGTCCAAACTAAATTCTCACAACTTACATCATAACAATTGTAATGCAAACCGTAAGGAGAATTACTATTGAGATCTTGAGAGTAAAAGGGTTAAGAAATGAAGAAAAACAGAAAGTTGAGGAATTCCCCTCTTAATGGTTCGTACCTGCACAAGGTGTCGCACAAGGTAGAATATTCTTGAGCGTTGATAACCATCGTCATTAAAGCTGTAGCTGTACAAGCACAGTTTCCCATGTCAGCTGCATTTGAACTGATAGAAATTTCAAACCTCTGCTGGAATATACCAGGTGCCGTGACATTTCTGCAGGATTCTCTTTCGATAAAATGCGATATTTTCGGTCCATGTAGGGGAGAGCCCGCAGTGTCAGTCGCTTACAAAACAGTTTACGTTTCTAGTTTGTAAATTTAAAAGGCCTGGCTACTAAGCTCAGTCATGCCGACAATATTCGTAGCGTGATATAATATAATATGAAGTAACTAATGATCATTACCAGGACTACTGGTTCATGCATGTATCTGTTAAGAAGATCATGATCCCGGGAGCTTTCCATTCGACCAGAGTAGTTGTTAAATTTTGTAGTATTAACCACTACTGGTACTCAAACCCAAGAAAATCGGGTAAGTCAGATCCCCCTATAGAAAATTAAAATTAGGAAACTGAGATAAACCCCCGGGGGGGGGGGACTCACAGATGAAACAGACGGAGATGCTCGTCGTCTCGCTTAGGGGTGTAAATTTTGGATTTTGGTCTCGCTTAGGGTGTTCCAGTCAAAGTGCCAATATTTTAAGCCGCTAAGGTCTCGTTTAGGGTTCCGCGAAGAAATACAGAATTACGCAAAGAGAAACAGAAGTAAAATTTTCTTTTTAACTTGTTTTCTATTTTACCAAGTGCCAAAGAGACAATGCATGAACATGAGTGGTCTCTTTTAGGGGTCAAAATTTGCTTAAGCCACGCTCAGATGGTCTCCTTTAGGGGTTAAATTTAAAATTTCCGACGAGCATCCCTGTCTGTTTCATATGGGAGTCCCCCCCGGATAAACCTTGTAGGTTACTTCTCCATTTTGAGTTAGAGAAATTTAATTTTCGAGTTAGCACCAGATTACACCGTCGCATATTGAACTCTGATCAATAACGGCGTTCACTTGAAGTAAATCATGGTAGCTATAAAATGTTTTTCATGTTTGGTCTTTAAATGTGAAACAGGCGCCCTGCAACTAACTGAATAAGGACGACTTTCGAGGATTAGTTTTCCTCATCACTGACGCCACAAAATATGAAGATCTTTTGGTGCTAGCCTTCGATTTAGTTTTCCTACTGCAGTTAGAAGTAAAAGGGGGATGAACCCTTCCCAATGGAGTATCTTGGTCCCTTTTGCTTAGCATGGGTAACTCGAATTTTCCACTAGTGTGGTAACAACAATTCCACCGGGGAACATTCCTTTTTGTTAAGTTTTCTTTAATTTTTTTCACTCCAAGGCGATTTAACAAAATTTTTATGAAAGCTTACGCAATGTTTGTCGAAGAAAGGGGAAATTTAGGACGTACTCGTAACAAAAATTCTGTACGGATTAATTTGTAGGAAATAAATCTTTACCAGGAGCAACGACTTGTTTTTTCTAACGTTGAGATGTGAAAAATAAGAAACGGAAAAGCTGGACTTGATTTCAACGCGAAAGAACATTTTTAACTAAGCCCTCAATCGTGTTTCGTCGTTCAAGTTCAAGTCTACACTCCCAGACATAGTTAGTTGGGACACTTCTTAAGAGAATATCTATGATGTTCTTTCGCCCGGCCTGCCCCTTGCAATATTCACCGGTGTTAATGGCTATGTGTATATGCCATCTCGCCCATCAACATTGAGAAGGGGTGGGGTGGGGGGAGGTGTCCCAACAAAAGTATCTGGGAGTCCAAGTCCGTTGTGAAATCTTTACACAAAAGAATAAATTTAATTAGCGAGACTGAATCACGAAATTACATAGATTAACTTTGAGAGAGCATTTCGAATGAGTTACGTAAGAATAGTTTTAAAGCCAAGCTAATCACAGCAGCCAATTGGAACAACAGAAAATATTATAAGGAGTCCGGCAATGAGAACTGAAACTAAATAAATGAAATTTCCCAAACGGGCAGGAAAATGTTAGTTACTAAGGCTCCTGTTTGGTGCTAGTTTTGTAGGTGATTACAAAAAAAAAGATGTCGCAGGTTTTCTTTACCAACTGCAGAGCGAAGTGAAGCAAACCCAAGTAATCCAAATTTCAACTGAGTGTCGAAAATGATCCGCGATAGCATTAGTTTTGCTCCACTTCGCTCTTTGGTTAGTCAAGAAAACTCACGCCAGTCTCTCGACCAATCAAAAAGGCCTGGTCGCCCGCTTTTTCCCGCGCCTTGCACAGTTTGCTTAGTTTTACTTTGAGTTGTCATTGGCTCTTAAAGGAATATTCCTCTCTTCTTTTTGACCATCGTGATAACTTTGGTTTTAGTTTTACAACACCCAATCGAAAAGCGCCCCATTATACTCAGTCCAAAACTGCGATACTCTTTCTCTCTGTATGATAATGACTTTACTCGGTTATTTCATCCGAGTAATTTTTTCGTTACGAGAGAACTTCTTGCAAGTGATGTTGCTGCAAATGTTCAACGAAAACTTAATGAGCAAAATAACCAAAAGCACTTTCCTTGAAATGCCTGAGAATCGTAACTCGTCGTGTTAAAAAGGTTGGTTATAGATATATAACTCACTTAATTGTGAATTGAACAACTAAAACTCTCTAAAGGATAAATATCACTTAGGCTTAGGCTTTGTTCCCCAGTCAAATTTCTTCCTGTAAGGCTTTGCTCGACCACTGATATACTACGTATGCTTAAAACTGGTGATGCGCTGATTAGGCCACGGAGATCTCCCACTGTCAGCGGCTCGTGTTGAGAGCTGAAGATTTCTTTCATTCGCTTGTCGGACTTTTTGTACGCTTCTTTGGCCACGAACAACTCTTTCTCCAGTTTCTCTACCTCCTTCTGCCAGGAAAATATTTGGGAGCGCAGTTCACTTAAGTCTGCGTTTTTCTTCTCCATAATTTTCTGATGATAGTAATTTTCTGCCTTCAATTTTCTTGTCTCCTTCTCTAGTTCGTAAATACATTCGTGGAATTTTTCCAACTGGAAACTCTTATCAATTTCTTCCAATCGATTATTGCTTTTCTCAGGTGCAATGGAAATCTGATGCTCAAGTTGACGCTTCTCTGAGGTGAGGGTGTGGTTAGCTTGTTCGAGGTTGAAAACCTTCCTCTTGGACTCTTCTAGGTTAGCGTGCAGCTGTACTTTTTCCAAGTGAAGCGAATCGAGTTTTTCTTTGTAAGATGAAAGCAGTAGGTTCAAGGAAGCTACCTCACCAGAGAGTCTACCTTTCTCGTCCATCAGCTTTTGTAGACCGGCATTTTGATCGGTGACACCCGATCTATCGGTGTCAAAGCCAACATATCGAATCACCTGTTTCTCAGTTTGCGACGATTCTTTTAACTGGTCAAACCGGTTTTGTAACTCAGTAAGCTGGAAATAAAGATCGTCTTTCTCTCGTTTGATTCCATGGTAACTTGTTTCCCACCTAGACATTTGAAGCTGGAGGTCGTGGAATTCTGCAGCAAGTTTTTGTTTTTCTGTGTATGTTCGATGGTAGTCATCCCTGTATTGTGACAATTCTTTCTTAAGTAAATCATTTTCATTTTGAAGACTGCAAGTAAGCACACTTTCTTTAGAAAGTGCATCAGAATTTCTTCCATCTTTTTCGTTTCTGACAAGTTCAGCAGCTAAAGTATCATTTCTCTTTTTGGCCCCCTCTATTAATGTCCTTAGCTCATCCTCTTTCCGCAGCTGTACTTGAAGTTCATCGTCTAACGTTTTCACTAATTTTGTGGCGCTCGATTCGAGTAGAGAGGTTGTTTTTACAGAAAGCCTGTTTTGGACTTCCAGAAACTTCTTGTGCTCTGCGTTGAATCTCTCCTGACTCAAACGATAAGCTGATTCCATCTGAAGTGCTTTCTGTTCAGCCGAGATAAACCTTTCTTCAGTGAATTTTATTTTCTTCTCGTATGCCTCGCGGTCGTTTTCTAACCGTGTGATTGTATTTTTTGAGGCAATTAAATCCTGTTCAAGTGCCGTTATTTTTATTTCTATAGTACTTATATCTGTCTCCTGCCTAGTATCCTTTAATACCCTTCCCTCGAGATCGTCAATCCTTCTCGCTTTCCAGATCACTTCACATTCTAGCTTCTCTTTCTCTTGACTGACAGCAGCTAACTTAGCTTCGAGATCCAGTACTTTCCCTTCTAATCGAGAAATTTCGCGCGCACTTTCTTCACTTCTCTGGGCTGTGTTTTCTGCTGGGAGTCCATCCTTCATTAACCTACTGGAAAAAGAAATGTGCGTTTTGCTCTTGGATTCATCTACTTGGAAAATGCTAAGCTTAGCTTTTGACGCCGACAACTCCGTTTGTAATTGTTGTATTTGTCTCTGAAGTGATTCATACTGAGACTTAAATCCAAAGTTAGCCCTCTTTAAGCTAAGCAATTCCTTTCTGCAGTCTTGAAGTTCTTCTTCTTTAGCGGAGTTCTGCGCGTCCAAGTGCGACATCTTTTGACGCAGCGATATTATTTCTCCCTGAAGGCATTCAGTCTTATGATTTGACTCGCTAACATCGCGTCTTTGCTTTAATTCAAGAGCCTGAACGTCAGATATTTCGAACTGGAGCTTGCTGTTTTCTTGAATAATCCTCCTCATATTTTCTTCTGAACTTGAAAGGCAATTATCTTTTTCCTCGAGCTGGAGTTTCAGTTTTGCTAACTCCTGATACATAGTGTTATAATCATTACTTCCGCAGGCAATCCTTAGCTTGTATGATCGTAATTCCTCTTCCAGGAGCCTTATTTTCGTGCCTTGTTCTCTGTGGAAGCTGTCTTTATTCGCCAGCTCCTTTTTATAATTTTCAACCAAACCTCTAAGGCTGAAAAGCTCTCTCTGCGTTTCAAAGAATTCTTCTTTGTTATAGGCAACCTTTTTGTTGGCCTCATCCAGCTGGGTCTTGATCGTCAATTGCTCAATAGTTGCCTTCTGGAATCCTTCATCAGACGTTGCCATCTTTCGTTGGTACCCAGTGACGCTGGTTTGGAGTTCTAGAATCTCCTGTTGTGATGCATCCAGTTTTCCTTGCAGCTCTGTGACAACTCTCTTTAGGTTAAATACTTCTTTGCAGGATTCATCTCTCTCCCTTATTGCCGCTGTCAACAAACACTGCGCGCCACTCAATTCCTTCTGAAGCACGAAAGCTTCCTTCTGAAGCTTTTGGTTGTCGTCTGCCGAGCGATCACTGGACCCGTTTTCATGCCTTGTCACGTCGCTGTGTTCAAGAAGCAATCTGGCCTCTTGCAAACTGCGCTGAGCAGTTAACAGTTCATCATCTCTAATCTTGAGCTTTTCTATGTACTCTTGCACTCTATCTTCTAACTGCCTCTGCACATTATCAGCTGAATTCGCCTCCATTTCCAATTTTAAGATCTTGTTTTGAGCCTCTTGCATTTCACCACGAACAGTTTCCAAGCGAACTACAGAATGATGGTGATCGTCTTTTAACGGGGTGAATTCCTTTTGCAGTGCGATGAGATCTTGCTCTATATCATTTTTTCTTGCTAGGATCATGCTGTATTTCGATTCCCATTTTGAAACCTCAGCCTGAGCTTCGTACAAATTTTGTTGCAGTTCCCCTTCTTTCGCAACATATTCTCGGCTGCTGGCTTCCAACTCAACAATTTTTCTTTTTTGCATCTTGATCTCCCTTTCAAGATTTGAAACTTTTTCCTGGAAAACTGAACTCACTCTGTCATCAGCCTCACGTCGTGAAAGAGATTTATTCTGAACTTCAAGACTTCTGCATTTTTCAGCCAGCTCACCATTTTCCGTTTCGACCCTGTGCAGGTTCTTCCTTAAAGACTCAGTTTCGGTTTCCAACTTAGCATACCTCCCGTGAAGCTCTCTTGTATCGGCATCTTTCTTCATGGCTTCGGTCTTTAGTCGATCTATGTCAGCTTCTAGATCTGCAATGTGTTCATCTGCTGCCACTTTACTTTCTTGATGTATCAATGAATTATTCTTCCATTCCTCTACCTTTCCACTGAGTGATTCAGTCTCTCGATTTTGTTCCATTACTTGATGTTCCAGTGACGCTATCTTAGACAAAGCAGATTGATGCTCGAGTTTCATTCGATCTCTTTCATTGGCTAGCTTTTTGATTCGGGTTCCACATTCTGTATTGGACGATTCAAGAGACAAGATTTCCTGTTGTAAGTGGTCCTTCTCAACCTTCATTCTTTCGTATTCTTCGCGAGATGCAGCTAAAGTTTGTTTTATACTCTCGCTGCTTTCCTCCAAGTAGAGTTTGCTAGCTTTCAACTGGTTGATAATGAGAACTTTCTCGTCCATCTCTTTCTTTATGGTGTCTGCTCCAATTCTTTGTTCTATAAGCTGTTTATCGTTTTTCAAAAACTCTTCTCGACTCGCCGATGCTCTTTGAAGTGCACTTTCAAGTTGGCGTTTGACAGACTCCTTCTCGCGGATCTCATATTCATATTTCACTTCCAGATCGGACAATTTGCCATGATGGCCAATCAGCTCCTCTTGCAAAGCTCTCTTGTCTTGTTCGAATTTCTCGATTTTCAGCTCATACTCTTGTGTTCTCCTCTGAAGGAGGCTGATCTCACGATTGAGTTCCATATTTTCTTGTTGCGCATTTTTGTTCTCAGCTTCGATTCTTTTAATCTTGATCTTGTAGTCATCAATTTTCTTTCTCAGTGAACTTTCCCTCTCTTGACTTTGCCTATATAAAGCTTCAGTTTCCCATAATGTCTCATCAGATGACTTCTCAAGTTCCTCATTTTCACTCAAGAAAGTGCTTGACTCGAGTTTAGAGATGTTAATGTTAGCCTCCTCTAAGCTATCCTCCAGGCCCTTTGCTCTCGACTGACTCCTTTCATAGTTAGCTTTCATGATATCCAAGTCCTGTTGCAATGCTGATACCGCCGTTTCCATAGCAATTTTGTCGTTCATCGCTTTTTCCAGAGCAGTCCCTTTCTCTTTTAACTCTGAGTGCAGACTTTCAAAAGATCGCTCCTTATCTTGGATCTGACTGAGGGACACCTTTAAATCTGTCTTCAGCTTTGCGATTCTCCCCTGTGACTCCTCCCATTGGGTTTTGCAGTCCTTTTTATCGAGTTCAAGGTTCGATATTCTGGCCTCAAGACTCGCAGTCCTTAATTTGGAAGTACTTATTTCTTGCTCTAACCTCATGACTGAGTCTCTAAGCGCAAACACTTCTGTCTCACGTTGTTCAAGCTTTTCTCGTTGGTTTGTTATTCTGCTTTCGTACTCGCTTTTCTCTGCTCTCAGCCCCTCATTTGTCACTTTGATGGTAATAAGTTCATTTTTTGCCTTCTCTAATTCTGCTTCTGTAGATCTGATTTTCACTTGAAGCTCATCCACGAGCTGCTCTTTCCTGACAATCTCTTTATTAATAGTTTCTTTGATCTTCTTTTCTTCGATAACCTGGCTCTCTAGTCGCATAATTTGATCTTTATCACAAACAAGCTTAGCGTTGTTTGTATCAAGTTGTTCCTTCAGCTGCGCTCTCTGATCTTGAATAGTCTCGATTTGTGATTCATATTTTGCGATCCTCGTTCTCATAATATGGAGTTCTCCTTCTGATCTCTCTTTAATTTGTCTACAAATCAAAACTTCTTCTTCAAGCTCAGAGTTCGTTCTCTTTAAAAGGCATAGCTTTTTCTCTCGCTCTTCTTTGTTCGCCACTGTCTCTTCCAGCTCTTGCTTCAAAACAGACATTTTATTTTCTGTTTCTTCTAATTCGTCAAGGACGCCTTGAATGTCGTTCTTTGAAAGCTCAGACAGAGACTCCAGGGAGCTTACTTTGCTTTTATATGTTGCTAATTGTTTGGCAAGTTCACTTGCCCGCGATCGCTCGTGATCCAGGTCTCTAGCCTTGTCAGCGGCTACAGTCCTCTTAAGAGACAATTCCATGTTAGCCATCTGATTCTGTGCCGTATTGAGTTCTGCCGCTAGCTGCTCCTTACGTTTTAAAGTTGCTTCATAGAGGCCCTGTGCTCTTGAATACTCCTCCTGTCTAATCACGAGGTCTTTGTGTAACATTTTCTTCTCCTTTTCACTCATTTCGCGCATGTCCCTCACATTCTTCAGCTCTTTGTGGCAAGCTTCATAGTCCACTTTGAGCACACCTAATTTCTCTTGAAGCTGTTTAGAAAATGCGTCTTTTTCTGCTATATCCTTGCAAAGGTCGTTGTTGATAGACTGTTGTTCAAGAAGTTTACTTTGAAGTAAAGAAATCTCTTGGCTAACAGCATTATGGGTTGTGGCGTATTCCTGTATGCGTATCTCGCTGGCAGAGTGCTGCTTAACCGATTCTTCGATCTCAGCCTCCAGTTTACTGACCTTCTGCTGTAAAGCCATGGTCTGGTGTTGAAAATCGAATTTTTCGTGCTCACATGTGTTATAAGAAGCCTGTAGCTCAGACAATCGTTTGTAAAATGACTGAACTTCAAGGTTTAATTTTTCGTTCTCTTCGGATGCCTGTCGGTTTTCGGCAACCGCATCTCGGACTCTTTTCTGGGCGTCTAAAGTCTCCTCTCGCAGTTCCCTTTTCTCTTCCTCCGTTATTTCAATCTGTGCTTGAAGTTTGCTAACCTCACTGAGCAGAGATTCTGTCTTCAACTCGTGTGCCGTCACGGAGACTCTCAAATCCTCCATGATTTTATCTTTTTTGCCAGACTCCTTTTGCTTTAGATCTGCGTTTCTCTGAAACTCATCGTAACGACTTTTTGTACTTGCAAGCTCTGCTTTTAATTTTGTGACCTTGGACCTTTCTTCCTCCAGCTCGGCTTTGAGGTTTGCCCTCTGTTTAGACTGACTCTCTCTTTGCCCCTCAAACTTAAACATCTGACCTTTCATTGCCGCCATCTTCTCTTCTAGTTCGTTGCAAGCATCTTCAGTTTTCTGTAATAGAGACCTTGTCTCAGTAATTCGTCGTTCAGATAGAGTAAGTTCTTCTCTTAGTCTGTCTTTCTCGCGAACTGTTGCTTCGTGGCTGGACTCCAGCTGGCTGATTTTAATTGAAGATTCTTCAAGTTTTATCGTGAGCTGTTCAATATCACCCTGGGCTTGAGCATAACTAGGTTCCAACTGTGATACTTTTCTCCCTTGAGCAAATATTTCTGATTCTAATTCCGAAACAGTATCGCGCAGCTTTGAATTCTCCATTTCAAGTTCTGTCGCTCTCTCAAGAATCCTCCTATTAGTCTCTTCCATAGTTGTAAGCTTACTTGACACAGCAAATAGCTGTCTCTGAAGATCATTTTTTTCAGTTATTGCCGATTGTAAACCGGTGTCCAACTCAGTAACTTTTGACTGCGACAAGTTCAACTCAGTTTCGACACCTTTTCTTTGCGTGGCATGCAGTTCTAAAGACATCCTCTGTTTTTTCATCTCTTCCTTTAAATCTTCAATCTTAGACACGAGATCTTTATTGGCGATTTCAAGTTTTTCCGCTTGGCGTTGTTTAGCTGCTAATACTTCCTCAGAGTTGTCAGCTTGTTGTTGTACCTCGAAGAGTTTCTTCTGCAACTGAGAGTGTATATCTTTGTTTTGGCGTAACTCATCGCGCGAATCGTTCAGCTGTGCTTTGAAGTTCTCTTTCTGTTTGCTTGCGCTTTGTAACTGCATCTCCAGCTTAGATACCTGTGTTAGATAGAAAAGGTTACGTTACACACAGTATGCTCAGAATTATTGTGCTGGAATTGCAAAAATGAACCTCACTATTTGTTCAATTCATGATGCACTTTGCTATTCTTTTGGAAAATTATTTCTTAAGCGTTTTCCGCTAAAATATTCTTAAGGCTTTCCGGCCATTTTCTTAAATGAATTCATAAAATATCCTTATTTGTTTAAAGTGTTTCTCGCTCATTAATAACTTCCATGGGAGACGGTATTGGTAGGAACTACTTAACTGAGCCTGTCTTATTTCCGTCGCATCTAGAACATTTATTAATCTCTAAGATAAATTTTGCAATTGAAATTAAGGTGTGGTAGCAGAACGTAAGTAAGTTCACATTTTACTCACCTTAATTTTGTAATTTTGATTGCAACTCATCAGTTCCCTTTGTGACTTCTCGTATTCTGCCTGAATATTGGCAAGTTTGTCCTGTAGCTCCATTAAAGCGTTCTGAAAGCTTTCCTTCTCTTGCATTAAAGAGTTGTAACTCTCTTCCCATTGAGCAGCTTCTTGTTTTGTAGCACGAAGTTGCTCATTATCCTCCACTGCGCCTCTTTGGATAACTGCCGCTGATATGGACGCCATCTCCCGTTGCAGACTCGCAAACTCTTTCTCCAACTCCTCCTTTTCCTTTTGTATGACATTTCTGGTGTTCTTACTCGAGGTCACCTCGTGTACGAGATTCTCCTTCTCCCAGTCTCTCTCCGCAAGGGTGTGCTTAATCGTTACCAGTTCCTCTTGATGTCTCTTACACTCGGCTCGCGACTGATTTAGTTGTTCATCTGAGACGCCCTTTGCCTTCTGAAGGTTTTCTAGACGGGTGTGAAGTTGATTGATCTAATGGGGAGCATAGAATAAGTCTGTTACCTACGAAAGTATTTCTTGAGGTTTTTGGGTTAACTTACAAAGTCAGCGGTCTCCTAAGGAAGAAAAAAGTCATCACCATATCCATTTTAAAATCACTGATGATACGTGCAATCTCATTGGCTCTTAACAGTGCGTTTTTTTTACGGATTGCATGTGCCTTTTTTCGCTTTGAATTGCATCCAGTTCTATTTCCAATCATCCAAATTTACTACGGGATCCATTAGTTACTGGAACTGCTCAAAAGGGTAAGTTTAGGAGTTAAAATTGCGTTTCAAAGCAGTTAAAATGACTTAATAAACTTCGAATCAAACAATTTTATTCTAGAATCGTGCTTGATGCGCTTTCGTTCGATTTTCAAACCACGTATATTATTTCAGACTATATTGCTCTGCACTCAGTTAAAATAGTCCAGTGAAACCTAGAAATATGAAAGGGTAAAAGATTCATGTAAGATAGACCACTATAAAATGAAAACAAAAATAAACGTGATTTATACAAAGATTTGTAGAGGATGCATCGGCGTAACATTCATTGACCAAGTAAATTGTTTCTTATGGCATTGAGTGAGCAATCTGTTCCAAGGGGATCCCGATTATAACATCTATACACGCTGTAGGAGTGTATGACTCCGTATAAGTCATCCATTTTCACAAAATTAGTTATATAAAAATACGCGTTGCAGACTTATCGTCATACGCATTGCGGGCCTACTATTTTTCTCTTTAAGTCATTTTAACATAAGAATTAAATTTTTGATATTGTCCTTCAGGACCATAGGATGTCGGGTATTTGGATATTAAATACAGATATTTTGACGTTCGCGGAGCGACACAGTCAGTTCGTTTGTCGGATTCTTGACAACAAATTTTGAATTTTGGAAGCAGCAGTTTAGTGACTTTTTTTAGAATCGATTTTGTTTTACAAACCTAACCTTATCTAGCCTTGTTATTGTAAGCTACTTATAACCACTGGAAGTTCTAATTTTTTCTTTCTAACTCGTGGATTAAAGAGTTTCTTCATTCCACCAACGGTTTAATTTTTCGACGCTTATGCCCGATCTGCGTTGTAGAATTAAGGGTGACTCCGTCTACAGTTTGCGGCGTTGCTCATTTTTGTGCGCACTACATGTTTGGGCAAATAAAATTCCACATGGCGGTCATGTGGTTATCTTAAATTCTGCGGTGCGCGTTGTTTGCGTTGTCAAGCCCACCGTATGCAATGGAACAAAACTACTTTAATTGTTATGGTTTTGTTCGTCAGAGGACCTTCGTACAATAATCATTGACCCTTGTCGTCTCCAGGTGTCTGATCTCATTCAAATTGCTTCGTGGTTAAACATCCATAATATGTTAAAGAGGACTTCAGAGAAAAGAGTTGCGAACTTGATAAGAGAATATAACGACATAGCTCACTGTGTAAGCGAAGACCCCTTAAATTGACCTAGACAACAATAGACGGACTTTTTTTTCCCACAATATTTGCAAGTATGTAATACACAGACGGCTTTGTAAAGAGACTAGTTTGTGCGTGCGTTAAATCATGCAGGAGTACGAAAATATTGCTGTGTCGGTGTTTCGTACGTCTTTGCGCGGTGATGCAATGTTTTTTAATACTTGTGTTTATTTTGCGGAATTCCAAACCTCCCAGTGTTCTCCTGTAGTGCTCTCCAAATGATAATGACAGATAAACAAACTCCTTGAGTTATCATAATTATTGCCATGCGCTGAGGGTTGGCGGCAAGAATGGTTGTTACTCAATAAAGAGTTGATAAAGTACCTGCCCAGAGCAACATTCTTAATATAACTGTCAAATACTCGACAAATTTTGTCGTTCCTGATTGGTCAATGACGAATTCTTAAAGAGTTTACGGAGTGCAATATCGAATTTCCGTATTGGACTCTGTCGTAATTTAAGCTTGTTTAGATGAGTAAGAAATGTTAATTTTTAAGAAAATTCGAGAATCAACTTGTTCAGTTTATAACGTACAAACACTACAAGAAATGAGTTATCCAAGGAAAACAAATTTTACAAGCATTTTAAAGGCCTTCGGAGGTACCTCGATTAACAAGCACGTGAATCGTCTAAAGAAGCTTTGGTAAGTAGTGATTCTTTAACAAAGTAATTAATTCAAAGTCGCACGAACTGCTCATGCAGTTCGTGACTTATGGTAAAAACGTAATATTTTGAAAGGTTTTCAAATTGCTCTCCTTTAAGGATCGCGCGGTTACGGAAGCTTCTAAGGATCACTCTTCTTACCCACAAATTACGAAATGTAGTCGCGTTCATGCGATTTCCTACACTTCAACGAGAACTGTCTATGATTGTGATATAGACTCTCGGCGCTAACTAAAATCTCTTGATTATTTTGCTATAATTCAAGACTGGAATAAGTACTATCGGACAAGGAACACAGCAATTTTGATTAAACATTAGAATGTAATGTAATAAGGTAAAAGGGATTTCTCTTTCGACAATAAATGGAGGTGAAGGTAGTTGACTTCAAGGCTTTCGAATGTGACATCAGTTCATTCCAACACTGCTCGTCAAAAATCGTCTCGCCTGTTGTGTGCAAATTAAAACCGGCTATACAAATGCAAATATCCACTTGATGTCCATGGACAGACTAAACTCTTTAATCGAGTAGATAAGTTGACTCTTGCTCTCTGGGGACACACTTTTCTTAATATAAAATATGGACGTTAATGCATTATTGCTCGTGACATTTTTGCGTTTCTTTCTGATTTTAAGAAATTACCGTTGAGATAACTAATGAAAAAGAAATCCAAGGGTGCTTTAGTTGAGCTGGAAGTTGGGTGAAAAAATCAAGACGCGCGAGCATCTATCTACGAAACTTAAAAAAAGTCGTAACAGCCGTAACAAAGATTTACGCACTCTAACTGAAATTGAACACGTTATACAGAGGAAGACACGGAAAATTGGAAATTAAAAATCATATTCTAAGTTTTGAAGCGGAATTCTTTTTAACTTTTTCCGACGAGCACAACTCAAAATAATAACCATTCATTAATATTTTATGCTTATCAGGTAGTTAAAACGTAACTCAAAACCACGATTTCCGTGACATTTAAAGACCAACAGATGCGTATCAGATGGGCCAGTAAATTCATTAAGGGTGGGCCTAGTTTATTTCTTCCGAAGCCACTGATTTATCAATCTTTTACGATTTTAACATTTTCGGAACTAAAAGGAAATTATGTCTTAACCAAATAAAGCCATCACTCTTATAGCTGAGCTGCATTTTTAGCAATTGCAGAAAAGAATATTGAATTGAAAAAAATTCAGGCTTCGACGAGATTCGAACCCATGCATCCAACTGGGCTACCAACTGAGCTACGAATTTACACGTTCGGAGCAGGGAAAACTTTAGAGGGTTTTTCTCAACCTTACGTCGGCGATAAGAAAAAACTCTTGACTTTTTCGCGTTGGTTTTGTGGCATCCTCTGTTGCTCTACAGAAGGGTTATAAGTCCTTCGGGCAGACGGTCTCAATCGGCCATTGAGACCATCTAACGCCGGACGGACCTACAACGATGAAGTTGCATAGTACATAGCACTGCCTCTGACAATTTTTTTTTCTTCATTAACCAAGTTGCCTAGTGAAGGTAAACTTCAAATTTGGATGAAAAATTTTTCCAAAACATCCCCATGAAGAATCATGATCCAACTTCGCTGAAAACATATCATATTTTCCTGCGCACTTCTGTTCTGTGGGACGTTTAAGCGTTACATCACTGAGGAAATTAATCGAATTAATTGAAGACTGTCAGTTGCCTCACCTGCGCGGCATGCTCAGTCTTCACCATTTCCAGCTCGTGTTTGAAGGTCCGATAAGCAGCCTCTAGGTCACCAAACGTTTCCTTAGCTGAGGCCAGATGGTGCAAAGTCGCATCTGCTGCGTCTACAGAGCTTTCGATCGAGCTTGTGAAGCATGTTTCCTCCAACGTTTCTACGTGAGACAAGCGAGACATCTTCAAAAAAAGGTTGCAGAGTCGATGGATGTCTCGTTCAAGTATTGTCAAGCAACATAACGAAAAGTTTCCAATTTATTTAACTCTACTACTAAACGAGTTGGTTTCGTGCCGTCAAATCGTTTGCAAAACTCAGCTGATTAGCGACAGAATATCCATATTTATATTTTTTTTGTTGCGAGACGCTAATTTGGCTTAACTGACAAAAAAACCAACCTTTCAATAGTCTCTCATAGCAACAGGTGTTTGTCAATTTCAACGCGTTTTGGTCCCAAAAGACTAGACGTGGCTGTCATTGTTCGTTCACGATAGCTTGGTGCTTTGCGCTTAATTTTTTTGTAATGAAGAGATTGAGTTAAGGAGACCAACTCCAATTGGTGATTGATGTAAACAAAAACACAAGCGCGACAAACTAGACTGGAAAGAAAGTTGCTACTCGCTTTGTTTAGGGTGCGGGAAGGAAACAAACATCTGAGTTCTACACGTGGAATCGAACGCAAAGCCTTTGGCTTTCGCGGTCCAATGCTTCATCAATGAACTACGTGAGAACTCGTTCGTACGCTACAACATTTGTTTATTAATTTTTGTTTAGTTCTTATTAACCGAGCGGGAGGTCTGTATGGGAGAATCTTGACCGAGGTCGCCAGTACAGACCGAACGCAGTGAGGTCTGTACCAGCGACCGTGGTCAAGATTCTCCCATACAGACCGACCTAGCTCGGTTAATGAAGATGTTTATTAAACATCTTCATTCACCGAGCTAGGTCGGTCTGTATGGGAGAATCTTGACCACGGTCGCTGGTACATATATGGCTGTGTCTTACATGCTAATTTTTTATATTCTTTGTACCTTTGTTTTTTAGACCGGTCTTGATGCCGGTCTAGATGGGAAAATCTAGACCGCTTTCCATATCGATTTCAGCCAATCAAATTCGTGAATTCGGTAGTTCCCTATCCTTGTGAGACACAGCCATATAATAAACATTAGTTATTAGCTACCGACTTTAGTCAGGTGTTCCCAACTAGCTAATCTATAGCTAAAAACATTGACACGTTAATAAAGTTTTCATTCACTCATTCTTGAATGACAAAAGTAGACGGCACCCCTCTCCGTAGGGAGTGGTCAACAACCCTCTATTCAACCTAATAAACAGAAATCTTGTGCTTCATCTCTAAAAAGTTAATTGAAAATACCTCCTTCCCCCCAAACAATGTCGCCTGAAGTTTTTGACCAATTTGTCAACACCAGGCAGCATTGAAATGGGGGAGAGGGGAAGATATCAAGATTATAGGATAATTGGCTTGTTTGCTCAATTGGTAGAGCGCTGCACTAGTATCGCAGAGGTCAGTGATTCGAATCCCGTACAGGCCTGATTTTTTTTCAGGTCTGATTTTCGCTGTTGCATAAATAGCGCTCTCTACTGCGAGGATCGTGCGTCATACGTATTATAGGAAAAATTCAAAAAGTAGTTAACTGTGCTTCGACTTTTGCAACTAATGGTAGTCTATTCGCATGTAGAGTATCACAATGTGTCCACATACCAGCCTGATGTGTTCGTGGGTCACTGGTATTTTTACGATTGATTTATTTCCGAAGAAAGAAATTCAATGGGATGTTCAACTTCTTATAAGCAAGGGTTTCTTAAAACTTTTGACGATAAAAATCAACGGTAAAACACGACGTTTCGACCGTGCTTCGGTCATTGTCAAGTGAATGGAATGAAATACAGTAAATATATGTATATATACACATAAGAAATATAAAAAAATTTTTGCAGGTGTAAACAAACGATAAAACTACAAGGAAAGTGCTAGTAAAAAGCTAATTAAAAACCTTAGCACGAATTGAATCAGACTGTACATTGAGAGCAGGTCTTAGCTTATGAATAAAAAACATCTCATAGACGAGACAGTCAAATTTGTTCGT